CCTGTGAGTGGCATCTTCACAACCATCCGTCATAAAAATATAAAATCTACCTGTAGATACGAGTGGGTACAAACCTCAGGAGATGGGAATTCTGTGGGCATGCTATCCCCCAGGGGGGAAGTGACGAGTGCACTGCCCAGGATGGATCTCATGTGGTGGGACATGACTTCCTGCTGCTCCACGCTGCAGTGGTTCTCCAAGGAGAGGATAACTGGGTAGTCGGATGTCTGGGGACGACCATACGGCATAAACACATCTCGTACATAGAGTGCTAATGGATGTCTTATGATACTGGATAATACTGGATACTAAACACACCTTGAAGGCATACTCTTTGATGGCTTGGATCGCGTCTCTGAAGAGGATCTTAGAGGTGAGTGTGTAGCCGTGGTAGATCACTGGCTCATCATCTGATCCGTCCCAGCAGTCCAGCTCCACACAGCGGCAGCCCTTCAGCAGAGCCCTGACAGAGTCACAACCAGCATTACTGACTGGACTACGAAAAGGCTACGTCAAGCCAGAGGGCTGTTGTTAGTAAACATCAGATGGTTAAAATAATAGGGGTGTAACCGTATGCGTATTTGTCTGCCTCAGTTCGATGTGACCTATGAACAACTAATGTCAACACAGAAAGTTTTGGCAGTGCACCAGTTGTTGTCTGTCAGCTGTAGCATGCTAGTCGGCTTATCCGGGCGAGTCAAGCTCAGTGGGCAGTGATTAGAGTCAAACTGTATGCCAACATTGTTCAAATGAAGTCAGGTATGTCTGTGGAAAAGTCCCAGCTAATGCTATAGAGTGTCTGTCGCTGCGGATATGAGACCATGCTCGGCCGTGGAGAATACAAAAAAATTTATTTTCTAATTTATTTTTTGTTTTTGTTGCAGCCCACTGAGAATTTACCGAACTGCAACTCCAAAACAGAGGTAGATACTGAGGTGTACCCTTCCACCCCTATAATATAACCAGTAACTTCTTTACAAAAAGATCCATATTGTGATGAATTGGTCTCTGTGCATCAAGCATTTACAGAATACAGGACATTAAAATACAATTAGTCTATAACCCTAATCATCCAAGACATTGTTGCTGACCTCTTTGCACAATCACAGGCACAAACTGACATCCTGCAGCCCTCAGCCTCCCCCCATTGGGATAGAGAGATACGCAGAAACCTAAAGTTGGATTAATATCTGCACACTGCAGTGATTTTATCAGTACTTCACAGGTACAGCAGGTGAATTCAAGACTTCAAGGACAGATTCATAAAAGCTGAATGAAAGCTGTCACCTGATATAAGCCTCCGTGCTGCTGGGCCCTTTGAGCTGATCCTCCATGAGATAGGTGTTGTGCGAGGAGGAGATGAAGTAGTGGTTGAGGGGATGGCTCATGTCCTGGTACACCTCTCTGTGATCGGAATTGAGGACCAAGGCGTCCGGATTGTGCAAGTACATGAGAAAACCATCTTTGGACAGCAGCTTTTTCTGCTTGGCTGAAGGAACACAAAGACAAGGCAGAACAACAGTGACCAGGGAGCCGCTCATTTATCCAACACAAAGGGTGTGAGTGAATAATGTCTCTCTTAAAGGATCTGATTACCCCTGTGCTAACCAGGGTTCAAACACAGAAGGTGTGGAACCCTACTGAGTTTGTGCTTGTCTATTAATATTTGTTGTCTTTGCTTTAAGCCTTGCTGAAAAGATGGTATGAATCAGTGAGTTATGTTCTGCACCTCTTTGCATTAAGTAAGCAGTCCGTCTTCAGCTGTGGTGTATGTACATGTATGTAAAGCTCTGCATGTAATAAATTATGTATCATTAAGACCACAGACAACACTGAATAGACTGGTCATTGTATATTGCATGTAGTAAAAGTTAATCTAGAAAATTAATACCAAGCTCTAGCCGTCATCAAAAGGCCTGTTTTAAGCGATTAGCTGTTTTGCCAACATGGTATTTGACTTGGAAGATATGTCGTACATCTGTCATCTTGACTTGGCAGAAAAGTACCAGTCAGTGCACTTCCCGTTTTTGTTTCGTCCACACTTTAAAGGCGCTTCTGTTTCATCAAAATGTATTCACCAGAGCAGAAAATGAAACAATAAATGAGACTTCTGGCTTTAGAGGTATTGTTAGGCTTATTTTTTTTTTTACTGTGGTCAGGGCTAGGCTAGTTTCCTCCTGCTTCCTGTCTTTATGCTAAGCTAAGCTATTCGCCTCCTGCATGAGAGAGGTATCAATCATCTAACTCCTTGCAAGAAAGAAAACAAACTTTCTTTACATGTCAACCTATTCCTTTAATCCAGGACCAACCCACAGAGCAGTACACATTCAGAAACACTGCTGTAAATAAACTAGAGTTAGCTCAAAGGTTATTTAATATCTGCAGTCCATGGAATATACGATCTCACAGACCAAATGTTTCCCTTTTTCTCAACACTGGGTCCCTGATGTTTGGACAGAAGATTGATGCCTCACAGCTCATATGACGGCCATATTATGAGTACAAAGAGGAAGACAAGAGAGGCTCTTTTTGCCCTGAAGCTCAAAAGACTAAAAAAGGTCTCTGCATAAAGAGAGCTCCTGTTACTGCACAGTGGATTACATCTCAAATCTCCTACTACTGATTCAGTGTCAGTTACAAAAGTTTAGGAAATGAAAGAAACACATCACCATCCAGCATGATTCAAGATCCCAAAAATAAATACAAAGCAAAATACAATAAATAGCTAAAATAAGAGTATCACAGCCCTGCTGGTTTTCAGTGGTTTACACCAGGACTGAGAACCACAGCTCTACCACAATAAGCACCAACCTGAAACATAAACATGTTATTACAGATGAGGTACTGACCATTTTCATCTGGCTCGCACTTCTCGATAATCTGGTGTGCGTCAGCCAGTGTGGCTTTCTCTCTCTGTTCTTTCATCAGGAATTCCACCAGGTTCTCTGGACTCATATAGCCCGTCGTTTTAGCGTACTCTCCGAAGATCACGTCGATTTCCTCCCGATGGGTCAACAGGTCATAGAAATGTTTTATTTCCTCTCCAGCCAGGTATCCAGATTTTGATTTGTCACATTTCTGTATGATAGAAACGTAATATGAAAGAGTATCCTTACATCCTCATGTATTACAACATATCTGCTCAGAACAATATGGGGTCTTAGGGGTGGGGGTTATTGTGAATACTTTATCATCAAAATGTGACTTCTTTTCGTACAACCTTTCAAACATCAGGCACATGCAAACACATATAAAACAAAACAGGACAAAACAACACTTTCATACAACTGTGCTGGGGGCCAACTTTTGTCAAAAGACAACAAAACTGAATTGACATCTGCTCAGTTAATCACATTTATTTCTTTTAAATTCAAATTTCAATCCATCAGTTTTAGCAAAGAGCTATTGTTAATTACCACATCGGACCTACTGGGCTTATTGTTAAAGATCGGTCATCGTTAGTGTTCTTTCTGCCTCTGAGCAGAACGGATTCAGTTTAGGGTGCGAAGGCTTAATTAGTATTATTATGTTTAATTAAATTACATAACTGACCATGCAGCAATGATAATCTGTTTTACAGCTCTTAGGGATATCTACCATTAACCTTCATCATTAAAAAGCTCTTAAACTCACCTTAAAGAGCATCTCTGCGTAGACGTCGTCCACTTCAATGTTAATCAGACGCATGAAGTTCTTCACCTCTGACTGACTCAGCTTATCATCCTCGTTCTTGTCCGCCTTCCTCAGGCAGCTGAGGATCCAGCTGAAAAGTTTTTAATGTAAGGAATGGATATGTAATGTCCATTCTTATCTTATGGGCCCTTGGGGTAGCTAAGGACCAATACCTAATAAATATTTAATAATTAGCTTAGAGCCCCCTCAGTGTAACCCCAGTGTAACTATCATGATAAGGATACTGCTCTGTCTTCTGCTGGAGGGTGAGTTTGCTCATGTTGGAGAGCATCTTCTGCAGGCTGTTGACCCACTGCTTGGCCTCCTCCTCCGAGCTGGCGATGAGGTCCAGGTTCTTGCGGCGGGCCTTGAACATGATGGAGAAGCAGCGGCCCTCCACCTGCTCCCCTGTGTACTTCCTCAGGCCCTCTGACTGACGGCCCATTCGCACCGCTGAGATGTCATCAAGTGAAACTGGACAAAGGAGGGAGCTGTAAATGTTACTTAACACTCAGGATATCATTTAACAAAGGAGCCACAGGAGTGATACAATATGACTTGTTCTGCTGAAAAAGAGAAGTTCCTTTGTACTTCTGGTATCTTTGGGCATCACAGACCAGCCTGCTTGGTAAACATGAACCTGCTGTTTACAGTTTACAGACGTCACATTACTGGTTTTCTCTGAACTGAATGTCAAAATGTTCGAACTTTACTGAAGCTTTAAGTCACTCACGTTGTTTGAGTTGTTTTCTGGATGCACCTTTAAGGGTTGCATGTTGTCATGACGACAGGAATAAAGCCTTCCCCATACTACGGTTATCAGACATGTTTATGGATGTGATCCCATATAACCAGAGCACTAATAAACCACTCCTCCACACACTATAAAACACTATCTTGATAAACACTGCCGTCATGAACAACCCAGTTGTGTACGGTAATACAACGATCTTTCTAACACAAAGACTTTTTATGGCTCTATGATCTGTCCTCCACTTTTATAATCCATGAAAGAGAAATCCACCTGAGCTGAGTCAAGATTTGGTAGACGAGTTTATAGTCGTATCATTACTGGGCACTAAAATAGATGATAAGTAATAGAGGTGGGGTACATGTTCTCAGCACCAGACATGTGTGCAAGAGTTTTGCTGGTGGGTCTCACACACATGCTTTTGGGACGCTGGGACAGCACTCACAGGTCTGGTTTGTCTTGAAGGTTTTCTTGGATTCGTGCCACATGGTCTTGCAGTCCTCCTGGAGTTTGAAGTAGCGGGTCTTCTTCCAGGACGAGGAGCGGACCTTGAGGAGGTCTCCCCCCTGCAGGAGGAACTGGAGGTCCATATCGCCCTCCATACCTGTGAAAACAGAGGAGCAGAGTGCAATTCAAACACATCAAACCTACCGAGCTGAAGCCCATTTTGACTCAGACCTTTGACCCCCGCTCTCTCGCCTCCTCCTTAACCTGCTTCCATCTCATCAGAAAACTCCATGAAAAGAGTGAAAGCCTAAAATCACAAAGCCAAATCGGGCAACCAAGGCTATGCAGCAACAAAACATGCCCGACCCTGCATGACCCTTTGGCCACATCTCCTACAAGATAGACTGAAACAACCTCCGCCTACCTAGGATCTTCACGTTCGTTTGTATAACCTCCTGGCTTCTGGCATTGCGGAGCATTTCCTCAGATCGGCTGAGCTGTGTTTGTCTCTGCAGGCAGGCCATGGTGCCCTGAGCTGCGGAACAACTAGCACACTGTCAATGAGTCGCCGGGGACAGACCAGTGTGTGGAAGGGCGTGTACCAGCCCCACTCAAAGTTCACTTCTCACCTCTGTCTGGACTCCCTTCAGGCAGTCAGCTGACAGACCTCAGCCACCTCACCGGCAACGCGTAATCTTCCACACAGGGCGGCAGCGGGAGGTTCAAACCAGGTCTGCTAACTGTGGCTGTTTCCTCATTTCACTGGATATTTAAGGAAACTAGATGACCACTCATCTTCTTTCTTTAGATAATAACCAGGCAGTGGAGCTAATGAACACGTGTTTCATTATAGTTGGATTATTTTAGCTGCTAGCTAATGATATTAAATGTAGTTAATTAGGTAGTTAGCAATAACAATAAAGTTGGTATAAAGCCAGAGGGTAATGCAACAACATTTTAAATGTGGCTAAGTGGAAAATATTAAATTAATGAGGCATTTAAAGATAATGTTAATAATTATTGTAATATATGTAATAGTTGTAATATATTGTAACAATACATTTGATTAGCTCCTGTAAGATTGAACGTTACGGCCTCATTCAGTGTAGTGACATTGCTGACTCAATGGCTCCATCTAGCGGCGCCGTCGCGGTACTGTCGGCTGCTGTGATTTAAATCAACCCGACCGGGTTTACTCATTTAAATAAATATACAGGCTACGTGCTAAAAACAGGTCCACACACATTGAATGCGAACAGAGGAATGTGTCCTCTTGACGACAGCGCTTGTTTTAGCGGTTGTTAGTCTTCTGTGTTGGCTGTGCGCAGTTTGGATTTGGGCAAAACACTGTTTCTGTTCGCAGAAAGGTGCAGGCTGGATGAAAGGGGCCACACCTTTTGGCAGAGTATAAACGAATGTTTAAAAGTCTACAGGTGCTCACATATCACCCAGTGCTGTAAATGCTCGCAGTCAGCGGAGAAACAAGTTAAGACTTCAACAATTAAAGTGGAAGATAAATGAGTAAATGTTTCCCCCAATGCCACTGTCGCCTGCGGACTGTAAGACGCACTTTAACTTGACTCCAAAATGTGTCCTACCGTTTTTCTTTTCGATCCCGTTCGTTTCCATCCTCTTTGAGTGCTATCTCTTCTTTACGCAGTAGGGTCTCTTCTTTTCTCGTTTCACTTTATGCACCGTTTCATCTAAAGTTGTCTCTCCTTCTTCCCATGTGCGCAACTCGGTAAGAAAACCTGAGTCTGGGATTATTTAAACCGAGAGCGAGCCCAGCACACCTAAGGCAGCGACACAGGTGGGTTTCTCCTGGTCTGAATGGTGTCAGTGCTCTTGCAGCCTCCAACACCGGTTTGACAAGCCTGCCATGTAAGCAACAGTGCTGATGTCACTGCTAGGTTACACCTTAAACACCAGCTTTTGCCATCTGGTATGGGACTGGTTAACATACAGGTTGACTTAGCATTTGAATCACATTATCAGTCGGTCTTTGCACCTGTGGCCAAAAATGAGAAAAAGTTTCTATAATGCAGGCCTTTTATGATCCTGTTTTCTAAAACACTTCAGGGACATTCCTCGCCTAGAGGAAACCCTAGATGTGAATAAACAGGGAGGGGACGTTAACCTGAGAAAGCACCCATAAGCCTCAAGATACTGTAATCAGGTTTTAGAAGTTATATTTAGTGTAGAAATTGTTTCATTTCATGTTTCGTGTCTATAGTTGACTTCTGCTAAAGCCTTAGTCAACTGTGTTTTCAAAAGGACACCTGTTCCTCATTTCAACACAGAGTAAACATGATCAAGAAGGCTGAACAGCACAGTTGGCTTGATGCCCGTCCACATAGTTGACAGTGAGCTTGAGCATATTGGTTTCACTGAATGGGACAGATGAAGTTTTTTTGCTTTCCTTTTCATGTGGAGCTTAGCCTTGGCAGGATAATAGCACTGCAATCACTGGTGCGTTTGGGCTCTTGTGGCTCTCAGCACTTCCCTTTCAGGTCTGGCTTACCCTCGGCGCACTGTCAGCATCAGGATGAGTGAGCTTTAATGCAGCACCGGGGGGGAAAGCTTCCGGGCAAGGACCGACCACCTCCAAACTCCACGAGGTTTTGGGAAACAGAGTGCAACATTGTCTTTAGCTTTGTGGGTCTGGATGCATGTTTGAGAACAAAAGAAGTAGGTTCTTTTCTTAAATGCATAAGAAACTAAAACTGCTTGTGATTTTTAAAATTAACTTTAGGAAGAAAACATGCATTTTGTCTTGGTTTCACATTTCATACACTTACACACCTTCATCTGGGAGCTTCTGTGCTCTACATGAGCCACCTGGGCTCAGGTTTCTTGCTCAAGGGCACCTTGAAGTAACCAATGAGGCAGGAGAGAGTGTACATATTCACCTTACTTTTATTCCTTTAGCAACTTAACTTAACTTAAAGCATCTGCTTATTAAACAAAAAAGAACACTTTCCATGATAATAGAAGGCGGTGGTGATTCAGAGTTATGTTAAATCAATATATCCCAGATTTCTATTAACAGAAATAAATGTCATAAAACGTCTCTTCAATTGAAAACGCTGTAAACAGACCTGACGTCTCCTGCCTGTGAGAGTCTGTTTCTTTTCTTGTTGTCTGTGCCTGTTCAACAAGCATGAACCGGCCCCACTGTTTCCTCACATACCACTGATACCATCCGTAGTTTTGCTTTTGCCCAAAACATCCTCATATCTCAGGGCACTGCTACAGTGACTTCATGCAATTCCTGGGTTACCAAAGGATACCGCCCAAAGACGTTACACTGAGTTAAGAATGCTGTAGTTGGTCGAGTTTCGAGCATTGCACATCTGCTTTTCATAACTTCTTTGCAAGTTCCACATTTCAACATGGAGACTGAAAGATTAACAAATAAACTTTAAACATACAGTATCTGTCTGCAAGGCAGAAAGTAGCAACGTGTATTTACTTAAGTTCCAGTATAATTTTCAAGTATTTGTGCTTTTCTTGAACATTTCCATTTTATGCTTCTTAATATTATACTCCACTACATTTCATAGGGAAATAGCCCACTGTACTTACTTACTGTATTAACAGCTATAAGATTACTACTCACTTTTCAAGATTTTACATACAACACATAGATTGAGTTTATAAAACTACTCACTACTTATTTATTACTTAAATCAGTTAAAATAGACCTTTTTCACTGCAGCCATTTTGACTAATTAAATTAAATAGTAAGATAAACACGGGTGTTACCATTGATTCTAATTAGGGATCTGCTCCATTCAGGTCAAACAGAGTAAGTATGTTGCTATTGTGCATGTTGGCTCACTGGAAAGGCTCTGCTACACTAAATGGAACAGACCTTTAATCAGTATTATTAGTAACACCTGTGTTTACCCTACTATTTCATGTCAAAATGACTGCTGTGAAAAAGGACTAGTAGCACATATACTGCTTACATGTTTATGTTAATGATGATCCAGTGGCCATTCTGCATCATGAATAGTTTTGCTCCTTTAGTAACATTTTGAATGCAGGACTTTTAATATTTCTATGATATTTCCTATAGGCCTTTCAAATGTAACTGTGCACCAATGAGCAAAAAGGTGTGCAAGAAAGAAAAGTACAAAAGGCCCACAGTTAGTAGAGGCATTAGCGCCCTCTATTGGATTTACTGTGCATACTTTTACAGGTACGGAGTGTAAAAATAGCGTATGTGTTGTCTAAAGGTTCAAATATTTTAACCAAACCCGCATGATATGGTCCATAAACTATAACTCAGTACTGTGGTCCAGCTCAATATGATTTCTGTTAACGAGTTGTTCGGATTTTACAGACGTTTGGCAGATCTTGCCACACTCAAGATGGCGTCATCTCTATGCCTCCTACCGGGTTCGTACGTAATGCGTCAGTCGCGCGTAAACGTGTGTTGACAGGAGCGTCAGCAGCGTCAGCAGCGTCAGGAGTTGTCAGCGAACAGCAGCAGCAGCAGCAGCATCGGAGACGAATGGAGTAACTAATCACAAAGATATTATTCCAGACAGCGGCTCTGTTGTTATTTAGAAGCATTGTTTACACCGTTCAAACAACGACACGATGGCCGACGACCAGTCCTCTCAATCCTGGTCAATCGACAGGGATGACTACGAACTCAATGAGGTGATAGGTGAGTAGCTTAGCTTGCTAAAGTTAGCATCCTAGCCTCCCCTGTCCCCACAGCCAACTGCTACTAGCCAGCTAGCATTGCCTGTCTGGAGCTAACAGAAGGCCAGTTACAACCCGTAGCTACATGGCAGGCAGGTTAACAGCTCTGCACAGCCCCCCCTCCCCACAGCTAGGCCAAATTAATTATCGGTTTCTGCTAGTTGGTGAGCTAATGTGAGATGGCTTCTTAGCACGGCAGCTCGAAGCTAAGCGGCTAGCTGACACGTTAGCCTACAGTGCGTGAAGATTGGTGAGTTGTTGGAGGGTGGTGCTCCCTTTACTGAAGGTATGACACGGATTATACTGAGACATGCTCATACTTCAGTCTAGGTAACGTGACTGATTATTCTGAACAAGGGAGTTGGTCTGATGTGCTATTTCACTGCAGTTTTCTATCATTCAGTTACATTTTGATAGATAAACTATGTTAATACTGTAAATGACCTTAGTCCCTAATGTAGGAAACTAGTTTCTATTCAGATTTTTCTCACATCGCTCACAAAAGTTTTAGTTGAGCTGTCATATTCTGACTGCTGTCTTCTAAAGTCAAAGGCTCTTGTGCTCCCACAGTGTGGTGATGGCTTCACTCTTAATATTATTTACCCACAGGGAGCGGAGCCACTGCAGTTGTCCAGGCAGCATTCTGCAAGCCGAGGAAGGAGAAGGTGGCCATCAAACGCATCAACCTGGAAAAGTGTCAAACGAGCATGGATGAGCTCCTGGTAAGAAACTGTCGCAGTGTGGGCCAGTATCTGCAGTCCAGATGTTCCTTATGTGTGGGTTGGCGGGGTCAGGTCAGTCAAGGCCAGATCAAAAGCTCGATACCACAACAAGCACTGAGTACAAGAGCTGGGTGAAATCACTAAGACACATTATAAAGACAAGTTCAACGTGAATTAATAATGTAATGTTCCTGTGCAGTAATGTTTAACTAGCTGAGCACTGAAATAAGGTTTCCTTCACATTATTTTAGTTTTGAATGTTGCTGTTTTGCAATCACTCGTCTGTTATGTAGCTCATTACCCCTTAGTTATCAGCCTTTCAGAAAGCCTGTGAATGGGTTAGAGATAAATGTGCAAGAGAAAGTTAAACTATGGAACAACAAAAAGAAAATCAGTCAATCTTTTATGTATAAATATTTTGTGATCCACCCATGTGATTGGCTGACAAACTAAACTCTGGTGAACACTGTAGGTGCAGGCACTTAAATCTCTGTGATTTTATATTGCATTAACATATATGTTGTGATACAGTAGTTCAGGGTGTCCTGCAGCATTTTGTAGTAGAGGACTCCCACCTCGCCTGAACTCAAGAGCAACTCCGCCAAATTATTACATTTTAATAAAATCAAAATTCAATTTGAATTACTTTGGGGAAAATAAATGCACAAATGCTGTGTATTTAATGCTGTGATATGATGTGAATGTGAGGTGACTGTTCAAACACTTTTCTGTAACTGGATTCAAAATTAGCTGTCAGGATCTTTCTGACTCACCTCTGCAGGTGATTTATTCATCTCTCACACTGTGTGTTAGCTTTCTCGTAACTAATCTTCACAGCATGTCGCAATATCTGACTAAACGAAAACCTTACTCTTCCCAAGATAAACAGCCAAATCAGTCACAATCAGGTTCAATTGTGTGAGTGGAAAAAGCACACTAACAGCAGGCTGAGGTTAGTTTTCATAATCACCCGTTGGACACGTTTTATCCAGTATAGTTTGAAATGAGTTGATAGGTAATTAATCACATTGATGCTTTTATTGTTGGTTGATTTGTTCCCCACACAGGTCTATTATAATCACAAATATTAAAGAGACTTTATTTTGTAAAATCGGTCTCTATATATATATATATATATATATATATATATATGTTCCCTTATCGGCCAGCTCTACCCTACAGTTACAAATGTGCTTTTTGTGCTGACGTTTTGTTGTTTCACCTGTGCAGCAGAGGGAATAAAGGACGAGAAAATGAAACTTAAGGTAGAACGTCTGAGAGATGACTTAGCATCAATCATTTCAACCTCACCCTAGCAATATTATTGCCTTTCAAGGACTGTCAAATATCCACATTACAACATTTGCTATCTGATGTATATATTCCATTACATTCCCCTATCTCCCAGGACTTCCACCTACCTACCCAGTCATTACATAATATATCCAGGTCCTGAATTCACCTCAATCTGCCATCTAGGTTAAAAATGTCTTGGCCTGGTGGCTCAGTGGTGATGTAACCCAGGTTACTCCACTGTCTGGAGTCAGGCACAGCGTACTGCTGGTTTAGGACAGGTTGAAAGTGGGGGAAGAGTGATAGCAGGGATTGGCTTGTCTAATTCAAACTACTCTTCAGTTAGATTTTACTGGCTTAAGCTTACATCAAAAGATCAAATCCTCCTTAAGACACAGTATGACTGTGCTTCAGTTTGTCACGGAAACTGTAATATAAATATTTAGTTAGTGCTTTGCTTTGTACCGCAACATTTCTGCTCCTTGTGTGACCTTGCGTCCCATATTTTCTTCTCTGTGCAGAAAGAGATCCAGGCTATGAGCCAGTGCCACCACCCGAACATTGTGTCTTATTATACCTCCTTTGTGGTGAAGGATGAACTGTGGCTGGTGATGAAGCTGCTCAGTGGTGGTAAGTGCTATAATGTTCAAAGGAACGTGGCTTTGGACTTGACTTTGCTAACTCTTATCTTCACCTTGACTTTGACTTGACTTTCTGTGTCAGACCTCCTTACCTTTCTTTGCCTGAATGTTTGGATTAAGCCACCAGGGTGTGGTTGTGGTGGTTGTTGCTGTCATTGACTTTATTACTGGCAATTCTGGGTCATCATTTGTGTTTGCTGGTTTTTCTTACTCCCAGAGATAAAGGGCCAAGTTGATGTAACAATGAGATATTTTTAGGTTTTCTGATTAATACTACAGCAGTCACTCATTGAGCATCTACTCAACTACAACACCAAAGCCACTGGTGTATCTGTTAAGCTAGTAAGGCTGATATCAATGGGATACAGTTACAAACAGTAATGCTAGATTACATGAATGAGTGTGTGTGTTTCTGGAAAAAAAGTGGGTGTAAAGTCAAGTTTCTCTGACTTGTGACATTTCATTAATTTGTTTAACAAAGCCAAAGTTGGTCACCTGATATTTGTCAGTGTTAAATTTACAGTCACATGGAAGCACACAAGAGGTCGGGGGCTGCTGTTGGTGCACTTCTCGAAAGGAGGACACAGCTGCGAGTTTTGTTTACTGTACAAACCACTACCAGATAGACGCCACTCAGTACTACTTGCCAAACCGGAGTTCCATCCATGTACTGTCAGCATGTCTTGTGACAAGTCTCTGCCTCTCTCTCAGGCTCAGTGTTGGACATCATCAAACATATCATCTCTCGTGGTGAGCACAAGAGCGGAGTGTTGGATGAGGCCAGCATCGCCTCCATCCTGAAAGAAGTCTTGGAGGGGCTGGAGTACCTTCACAAAAATGGGCAGATTCATCGGTGAGCTCTAATGATTTTAGGTTGCAGGGCCTTGTTAGCACTGTGTTAGTGCAGTTATATGTCCCATCATACTCTCCTTCCTCAGCTATGGCACTGAGCCTTTCATCTCTGCAAATGAGCGTGTGGTTTGAACTAGACCTCGCTCCTTCAATATTTAATACAGTGAAAATGCATAATTGAGGAGGTTTGTTTTACATAAAAGTTCATTGCAGGAACACTGAACCACCACTGAGAAGAAAGGCCTCTTTATCCTCTGTGCCTTGCTGTAGGATGAGTGTAATTATTTCAAATTAACATGCTAAGGTCTCTAACAAACAGGTTTTCTTTAGTCAAATTCTTATGATTTTAAAAAATACAGTTATTTTGGAAGTTATTTTTTTAAATGTATCTTATGTTACAGCATGCAGTATGGTGTAGTGTGAGTGGACAGTTCATTCAGCAGCTGCTGATTGAGCTCAGATGCTGTGGTTAACTCACTTATATCTAATAAGGAGAGGGGAGGGGAGGGAGGTGGTTGAGGCCCAGTTAATCCACTCATATTCTTTAAGCAAACAGAAATCAGGTTGGATTAAAATGAGGTAGATCAAAGGTGCAGCTTTAACGTGTGCAAGAGTAAAGAGTGTTTGTTCATTTTCAGAGTCGGTATGTGCAGTCTAATCACTCCTCTGTTGGTGCATGACTTGTGACAACGTAGTTGTTTATCATGTTTCAACCCTCCTTCTATTCACACACAGGGATCTAAAAGCTGGAAATATTCTTCTTGGGGAAGATGGATCCGTGCAAATTGCTGGTACAGTGGTTTTGTTTTATCTTCATCTGCAGATGATAGTCACAGTTTTACGTCCCTCTGATACATTATCTAGTTGAACAAACAAGGCCCACATTGTACTTTTTGATGGAGATTAGTTTGTCTTAATATTTAAGAAGTTTAAGTAGCTTTTCTCTAATTCTTTTCTTTCTGTCACACATTGTGAATCACACACACACACACTCCCCAGACTTTGGTGTGAGTGCCTTTCTAGCAGCAGGAGGAGACATGACTAGGAACAAGGTTCGGAAGACATTTGTGGGGACGCCGTGCTGGATGGCCCCTGAGGTCATGGAGCAGGTGGGAGGCTAGTTTTGTAGATGGCATCTTTGTCTCCCTCTGTTTTCTCTCTGTAATGCCTCATAACTGATAAAAAGAAGGCTTAAGCACTCTGTTCACTTGGTTCTGTTTTTAAACCGCAGGTCCGCGGCTATGACTTCAAAGCCGACATCTGGAGTTTTGGGATAACCGCCATTGAACTGGCCACTGGGGCTGCACCATATCACAAATACCCACCGATGAAGGTAACTGTGCGCGCTTACTGGTACTTTGCTCAATGTCAGTATGGCAGCTCTGTCTCTTCATGGCACAAGCTACATCTGTCTACTTGAGTAACTCAAATGTAATTTTCTAATTTCACCAGTCCACTTTAAATTAAGACAATAAGACAGTAATTCTGTAGCCTGTTACACTTATTGGTGCAAATTATGGAAGTGCTGATGTATTATGAAGAAACATTTGTTTCTGCCCAGCCAGTCTGCCTACACAGTGTAGCTTTGATACGATTTTAATTAACAGTTGGTTTTATATCAGTTTACTGACAAAGCTGATCTTTGTGTGTCTGTAGGTGCTGATGCTGACTTTGCAGAATGACCCTCCTTGTCTGGAGACAGGCATCACAGACAAGGAAATGGTGAAGAAGTATGGCAAGTCCTTCAGGAAGATGCTCTCCCAGTGTTTACAGAAAGATCCAGAAAAAAGGTCCGTTAATCCCCAAATCCTTTTTTCCCCTCCTAATCCCAGATTAAAGCTGTTTTTCTTTCCATTAGATTCCCCAGTTGTGTAATGAATATAATGAAGAGCCTTGTGTCTCTTTTCCTATTTAGGCCAACTGCAGCTGAGTTGCTGAAGCATAAATTCTTCACAAAAGCCAAAGTGAGCCTAACGTCACTATTATAAAGATAAACCGATATATTTAGTGTGTTTTTAAAGTAATCTTTATAGATCCTGTAAGAAATGTCTGTCTTTCTGTTACAGAACAGCGAGTATTTGCAGGAGAAGCTCCTATATAAAGGTCCCACAATCACTGAGCGATCAAAAAAGGTTTGACAGTCATTACTAATACGCTTTGTTGCCTAATACTATTGCCTAATGCATGCTGGAATACGCCCCTTTCAACTCTGAAAAGGATGTACCAGAAAGAGGGTTAGTGTGTGTGTGTGTGTGTGTGATGAATGAGTTAATATTAAGTGTTGCACCTTTTTGCTTGTGTTTTTTGTTTGTTTTTCTATGCATTGTGTAGGTGCGTCGTGTGCCTGGCTCGAGCGGCCGTCTCCACAAGACGGAGGATGGTGGTTGGGAGTGGAGCGACGACGAGCTGGATGAGGAGAGTGAGGAAGGAAAAGCTGCTGTCGCAGCTCTGCGGGTGAGACTGTACACTGCACCCTTACTGCCAACAGATGGTGCTGTTGGACTGTTAGTCTGAACAAGGTTCACTTTTGTTGAGGCCTCCTGCCTCAGTGTCAGTGTAGGTCAAGTTCAGGTTAATCAGGTAAATCAACTAAAATACACCAGATTACACAAATATATCTTGATCTTGATTGTATTTCTGACTATAATTAACAAATATTTCAAATAGTGAAAAGAAATGCCACTTATTACGGAAAGGTGTTTCATTGTGCAAGTTGATTGTGTATTTACAGTGACTGTGCCTGTTCAGGGATGTGGCATGGCCTCAGTTTGAGAAAGAGTTGTACCTAATTGCTTATTTGACAAGGTTTAGTTCTTTCAGAGCAAAAGACATAATTGTAGAAAATCTGTCTTCTCAGGAACAGACAGCCGCTCAGATCACCTGTTATATAATTATTCTGTCCAATGTGTGTTCACACTCAATTTATGTCTTGGTGTGGGATTTTACTGTCTGTTATCTTAACTGTGATTTCAGTTAAGCCCTGTGTTTGAAGTCACCCTGTGTCAAATTCCTTTAATCCTGCAATACATCATTCCATACATTGGGGGGAAGAAATGAGAATTGCATGTTTTTAATCCTGACAACCTGTCATGTCCATTCTGCAGTCACCCAGAGTGAAGGACGGGTCCCAGAATATGGAGGTGAGTCCATCTATAGTGGACATGACATGAACATCTTGATTTATTTTAAGGCCTTGACAGAGCAATCTGCATGACTGTCCTATGTGTGTCCTCTGTTTTTCCATTGTTGTAAAACTCTGAACACCCGCTGATTTTTATCTGCATATTCGTGTCTATTAGCTCTTTCCACCAGCCGACGGCTCCACAGGACATCTGCAGCCACCTGGTGCAGCACACGAGAGCCCTGCGAATGTGAGCCAGGCAGGAGAGGACGCTCCACCGCAGGCTCCCACTCAAACAGCGAGCCCTTCACATGCACCCACTGCTCAGGTAAACACATGAAAATGAGTAAGAGGAGTGCTTATAGATCAGGGAGAGGGATCCGCCCTGTGTTGCTCCTACTGAATAGAATTGACTTGAATCAAATCCGTTCTTGACATCCATAGTTTAGGGCAGAGATTATGAACCAGTACCTCTGGCCTACTGTTGAAAAAGCTGAAGTTATACAAAGTTGCTTTGCGGTAACAACTCTACTGTTCTACTGTTGCAGGACCCAGCTGCAGCCAACGCCAGTGTTCCCATCAGCCTTGTCCTGAGACTGAGGAATCCCAAGAAGGAACTCAATGACATCCGATTTGAGTTCATGTCTGGCAGAGGTTGGGACCCATCAGTTAGCTTTTTCTCTTTTGTCTCATTCTTAGAGAATCCAGACTCAAGTCTAACTCTTTGCCTGTCTGTTTTCAGATTCTGCTGATGGAGTTTCTCAGGAGTTGGTCTCAGCAGGTCTAGTTGATGGGAGGGACTTAGTAATTGGTAAGTAAGAGATAGAGTTCTTTATGATGGGACGTAATCTCTGGTGCACAGATAGGTCAGTTTACTTGAAATAGATAATCCATCACAGTAAACAAAATGCTTATGCAAGTTAACAATTAATGCTATACTGAAATCATTACAAACAAGACAAGGTGTATTTAAGAATTCTAAAATATTTTGGAAAAAGATGTTAACTATATGTGCTTTATTGTAAAAGTGTGCATCCCATTGGTACATTATGACTCCAGCATAGCAGGTTTATGTTTTTACTGTGGGAATGCAGTTCTAAAACGACCGATCATGATGGAAAAGTTCTTAAATTAGCTGGTCATCTGACACGGACCTCTCACTTCCTTTTGTCTCCTGTCTAGTTGCTGCCAATTTGCAAAAAATTGTTGATGATCCTCACAGTAACAAAAATGTGACTTTTAAATTGGTAAGTACACAGCATACATTTCTTCCACTGATGTATATATTTTACAGGTTTTATGTGATTAGTTATTGTTATATATTTAAAGATGGCCAGTGCAGTTTATGATGTTGTTCCCTCTCTCCCAGGCGTCCGGCGTGGAGGAGTCTGAAATCCCTGATGATGTTAAACTCATTGGATTTGCGCAGCTCAGCATCAGTTAAGTCAAGTAAAGCCAGCAACAAAGGACAGAAACTAATGGTATTGCACAGCTGCATTGTAGTCAATTCCAAGAAACCACTACTGCCAAAGAGAGGAGGAAGAGGAAGATTATGAGGAAGAGGAAACACGAGGCTGGCAGGAGTGTGACACTACTGCAGGATGCATGAGGACCACATTGAGAAGAGGCTCAGTTCATCACAGGAATCACACTTGAAACGTTTACAGTGCGCTTATACAGTAAATGGGAGAAGAGATGCAATCAACTATATCAACTCCTAATTTCTTTTTCTTTTTTTCTTCCTCTTCATACATAAGCACAATCCAAACCATCTCCTGCCAGTACTGGAAGTGATTGCCTTTTTATTTTATTTCTTTCTTTTTTTTTTTTTTTTAAATCAACTGTGCCACTAAACTCAAGAGTGTCGTGCCACCGTTATATGGCACTTTATGCTACACTGAAATTGAAAAGTGTAGGTTCAGCCTTAGTCAAACTGTAGATTTTACCAGTGCTTTGGTGAACAATTGAGTCTATTTGTGATTATTAGGTGTATTCTGTGTACACCTATACAAGAAATTTAAGAAAATCTCCCATAACACTGATGCAGATAACTTGTAAACACACTGTAGCATAGTTTTAGTTTTGTAATTCTGTAAATTCAGATGGATTTTTACTTAAAATGTAAGAAAACTAGCAGATTCCTGTATAAGGCAGCCCAAGGCGTGTGGTGGTTTTGTCAAAACAGAACCAAAGAGTTTGATCTCTGACTGCACTGCTGAAAACATTCAAATCCACAAAATCAACTGCAACTCCTCTGTCCCATTACTGCAGTTACAACACTTTGTCAGATGGCGATTTCTCGAGGTATTCAAAGACAGGATTATTTTCAGACTGAGACCTGCCTAATATTCTTGTACTATGCAATACGTATATTCTTTTCACCTTATGTGACCACTGGTTGCTGATAATATTTCTCTTGGGTTGAATAAAAGCACTTTTTGCGTTTGTACCTCACAGGGAGTTCATGAAGTCAGCCAGCCAGACGGGCAGCTTAAAGAACCCGCAGTAAGAACTCACTTACATTTTCACAAGCAGTCAACCAAGTGAACGCCAACAGACAGACACGGGTAATTGCTGTCTTCTATGTACCCTTGTCAGAGCTAATTTATCCTGTTTACCGTTACTGATCAAACAGCTGGGATGAATCCTGAATGCTGGCAATGGTTGTCGAACCTGGGGCTGCTCGTGTTACAGGCTGAGTGCTGATGGACTTCTGTGGAGAGGCGTGCACGCTCAAAAACTGAAAATGTTCTACCTAATTGAAATAAAGTTTCAAAGGGGCAGTTCATCCAAATTTTAAGAAAACAAAAATAGATTGTGTGGTATTTAGCCAGGCAGATAGTTTTGATTCAATTAGTTGGTTTTGAGGTGGTTTCTGCCTCCAGCAATGCAATGGAGGCAAATGGTCCATGCCTTTAAGCCAGACTGAATTAAATACACTATTGTATGGGTTGCCATGAAATTTGCCACATATACTCATGGTCCCCAAAAGGAAGAGTCCTACTTCCTTCACTTTTCATCTAGCCCCGCCAGCATGTCCAAATCTAAAGTCCTTTTGTTATAT